TGATTATTAATATATCAATATTATTTATCCAAACCTAATTACGAAGCATGGTTCTTCGCCAAATAGGATTCCGAAGCACCAGAAGCAGCCACGTAGGCTCAGCGCATTCGAGAATTATATATAGGGAGGATTTATTTATTTTTTTTAAAACAATCGATCAATTATTCGAGAAGCTCGAATTTTCGGCTCACTCTTAGCTAAGCAATTGGGAAAACTATTCTGTTGGGGTTTATAAGTGTTAGATCATGATTGATATAACGGTTACAAACTCCGACAGTATGGTTCTCTAGTTAATGTTGAAATTTTTTTACTAATTGTATATATAATCATAATATTACTCTATTAGCCTGACAAATAAACAAGCAGAATATTTTTTTACTGGGGACGTTAAAATCAATTAAATAAATACTGAAAAAATAAATTAAAAAAAAAACACACTAGCAGTAAGAAGTAGAAATGAAAAAGGCAAGCTAATCCTCCTTATTCACGAATGCGCTGAGCCTACATGGCTGCTTCTGGTGTTTCGGAATCCTACTTGGCAGAGAATCATGTTTCGTAATTAGGTTTGGACAAATAATATTGATATATTAATAATTAATAATCTAAGTTCGTTCCTATAATATTAAATAGCTAACTTAGGTATTTTAATATCACTTGTACTAATATAACCCTTTAATTCTTTGTGTTTTACATAATGAGACATTAAATGACTAATATATCTCTACTTTTGATTTGTTTCCTTCAATTAGTTATTTAATTGTAAATATATTTTAAAAGGTGATAACTTTTGTATTTCTTATCAGTTTTACATATATGATATATCAAATTATTCATCTTTTAATGATTTTCGATTTCACATTCATATTATATATGAAATAAATAAATCATATTTATCTTTATAATAATAAAAAATAATAATATTTATTAAAATTCATTAAAAAATAAAATTATTTCTCAATTGATATATTTATATGTAATGTAGTTATATGTTGTAAGCTAAAAAAATTATTATAATATAACACATATAAGTTGCGCAAATAAAAAGTGTCGCGTTGTACTAATAGTCATGTATATTCAAAAATCACCAGATACCAAAAGACAGGCACCAAAGGCCGACACAAAAGACTATAAAAAACATCGAAAAAAAAGAGAAAATTAAAGAAATCAAGCCCAGACACACAGTCCAAATAAACCCATCAATTGAAGCCATCATAAGTAGAAGCAACAGCCCAACACTAGCAGAAGACAGTATATTTTTTGACAGATATGATTTTGCATTGTTTGAAGGTGGGGTTGGCCTAACTGGCACAGTAGGAAGGTTCTGTGGAGGGTTCGGTTGAGCTTCTTCAGGCCCATGGGGAGCTGGGCCTGGGCCTGGAATAGTGGGCCGAGGAGAATTGGGCACCCTTATCTCCACCTTCTGTCCGAATTGGCTACAGTGGCCCTCAACGCCACATATGTAGTAATAGTCGCCGGAGCTATGGATGCCGATGGAGTCGTTGCCGGTGGAGTAGGTGGCTATGGGAGCCGTTGGATTGCAAGATTCGAAGTCCGATTGGCTTACTTGCATCACGTTGTGAAAGTCTTGATCGTACTCGAAAACTATATACACAAAAAAAAAGGAAAATAAAAATCAAAGATTAATTAATTAACTTTTATAATACAAAGTTAATACCAAAAAATTAATCGATTAATTCAGGTGTCGAAACATTAAGTAGTGGATGACTCCATAAGAGAACAATTCCATGACTCTATATAATTTTTCCATTAACCATAGACATGAAAATCGAGTTACAATTTCGTTAAACATAAGTGGGGTTTGTAACCGTAAGATCATCATATAACGGTCTGGGATAGTTGATCTAACAGTTACAAACCCGGCATAATGGTTCCGTAACGGGACTATAGCATCTCCCAAAAGTTAATTAAAGAGAGTTGCAAGAACTAACCAAGAGTGTCACCAATTTTGAAGGTTTTTGAGGAAGCCCATTGGTTATAGTCCACATCGCCCATGATAGTCCACCCATCACTATCACCAACTTTGTACACAGAGCAATTGCAAAGGCCACAAACACCCACAAAAATCAAGAGCAACAAAATTTCCCTCTTCAACAAAGCCATGCCTGTAAATCAAATATAAAATTAAATAATAAAATATATAATTGTATTTGCAATAATTTTAACCCTAATAGAGAGCTTGTAAATTCAAGAAATTAAAATATGATGGGAGTATAAAAATTGTAAGACCTAAAGGGTATATTTATACTAATTAATTAGTTTTGGAAAAGATTTCCTGAATCCTAATAGGATTATGAGTGGTGTGAAGAACGCCCCTCTTATTAGGGCTCTAATTTCTGTCATGCCGATTGTCGGTTAGATTGAGAGATTGGGCTGCGTTGAGCGGCCCATTAGAACTTTGGACTGCCTATTTAGTATTATAAGCCCAAACGTCAGGTTGATTTTGTCAGGTTGAGCCGCGGATAGTAAACAGGTGGGTCATGCCAGGTCATCACAGAGTGGGTCCCAAATCAGCAGCTGCCACGTGGGAGTGGGCCCATTTGAGAATTGAGCCGCAAGACGTACAATGCGGTCTTCCCTTCTGAACCCCCCACGTGACTGAGCTCCCGTGATGGTAGCTGCTTTTGCAGAGATAAGATTTTTTTTTATTATTTTTATTTTTTTTGAAATAAGCAGAGATAAGATATTTTAACTCTTCACTTTTATTTACTTTTTTT